GGGTTCGCAACAATTGCAACGTTTGCAACAAATAGCAACACATCCAAGAATACTTGAAGATAATGCAACTATAATAGTGGAACTAGCAAATACATAAAGCAAAGTAAGGGTTGAAAAAATTGTTGACGCGATATTGCAATCTTTTACTCCTAAATATGTAAATAGAAGTAAATAAAACTATTAATGAGGTAATAAAATTTACTTTAAAATATGCAAATATGAATAAAAACAAAACAAATAAACCACATTTTTTTGTTGATTATATAAAGATCCAATATGGTAATTAGAATTCAATTTTAAATAATTATTGTATGTGTACCTTTTCAGTTGCTTTTTTACCTACTTTCTTATATAAGTTATTAATGCTTGCGCAAGACTCTAGCCTGGAACAATTGTGTCCAAAATCATGTATATATTTTGCTTACTGGGACTTGGCTGTTGTTATAATGCAAAAAAAGCTTTCAAGTTTTAATGTAGTTTTAAAAGAAACATTGAATTAAATATTGAAATAAATTAGTTTTTTTTTTAAACATACTTTGGTTAGAGGAAACTAGTATCTAGGTTGCAAATAGTGAGTTTTAAAAAAAATTTCCCACGGTCGTTTGGATGCATGCTGCATTTATCTAACTGTTAAAAGCATAATTTGTTTACATTCTAAAAACTCTTTTTCAAAAAAATCTGAGCGTGTCAATTTTTTAATTTTTACTTTTATATTTCAAATAGTCTTATCCTGATTCGAAATTGTTTTTAGATCTTAGTATTCAATTTTTTTTCTCAACAAAAATAGAGATCGCCCAACATTGTCTTAATTTATATAAATATGATACACTATTCACTATATTCATGTATAAACCAAAAAAAAAATTCTATAAAAATACATGCTAATGATTATAATGCGTTTAATAGGCTACAAAGTCAACATGTTGCTTATTAACTATGTAGCATAATATTTATATATATATATATATATATATATATATATATATATATATATATATATATATATATATATATATATATATATATATATATATATATATATATATATATATATATATATATATATATATATATATATATATATATATATAGTTATATATAAATTTATTATGGTACATACTTTATATACTATGTAATTTGTTTGTATTTAATTTATATTTGTTTTTATAATATGGGTAATATAAGCTTTATATTATAGTTTTTATAATATATTATAATCATTTAACCATATATTATATACAAATTGTACCCACTAAATTTGTGTGGATATTATATACTTTGTATTACAACACAATTACAACAACTGTATGCACACTCATTTAATGCATAAAAATCAAACTCCAAATAATATTAGTAATAAATATCGTATCATAGTATACTATGTAATACAATAAAGTTTATAAAAGATTTATAAGGTTTATAATAGACTCTACAGTATAAAGTTAATTCTACGTTCCATCTCATGTTGATTTTGAATATCATTATTCTTTTCTAAATTCGTAATATATCTTTGAGCTTATTATCTTTTAAATATTCTTTAGCAAAATAATCTTGTTCTACAATAAAACAACCTAGCTCTTCAGTTAAAAAAGCTTCAAATTAACTAAGAGAGCTAATATAAAATAACAAAGTTTTAAAAAAGTATTTGCTTCAAATTAAACTTTACAGAATTTGCCCTATTGTCTACTTTATAAATATATTTCCGTTTACCTGTTAAAACATTTGATGCTAATAGCTTAGCATCATTGTCAACAACAGTGTTTTTAAATCTTGTGTTGTCAATATAAGTTTTTTTTTAATTATCTGCCAATGAATTCTTAACTTCTTCTTTGTCTGAGTATAGTATTATATAGTAATCCTTTATTAAAATAATTATATTTAGAACTAAAGTGTAATAAATTATTACTATCTCCCATATAACGTACTAAATCATTAACAAAATAATTTCTCTCTTGCAGCCATGTTTTTTCACTAAATTTTAAGCAGTGTCATTCCACACATAGAGCTACACCTTTGAATGACGGATATATCTATCAGACACAGTTAAGGGGTTAAATCAATATGTTTCATTATTTTTTGTTTTTAGATATCTAAATCATTATGTTTGGGTCTTTTTTTTGGAATTTCATAATTCATATAGATTTTACTTATAACATTAAAAATATTAAAAAAATTAAAGCATTTTAGTTTTTACTTGAGTTTATTTTGAATTATTGTTTTATAAAAAAAAAAAATCAATGAGTTTTAATTTGAGGCGAATTGTGTGTATATGTATAAATATATACATAAATATATACATGTATACAGGCCTTGCGATGAATAAGAGCTGCGCGACGCATAAGCACGACGTGATTTTAGACGTCATTAAATTCTTTTTATTTGCTTTTCATATTTATCGACATTAACTGCACCAATTTATTTAATTACCGCAAAACTACTTTAAATCGTTTATGTAGAAATGTTATTAATTAAAAATGTTTTGGAATGTTTCGTTTTTTAAAATGTAAAAACATTTGTTTATTTTCTCGAGTTTGTCACGTTTTGTCTATACTAAACGAATAAAAAACATTATAACTTAAATTTAAAAAAGATTATAAAATATGCTAATATTTGATTTTTTTTTTCTTAAATATGTAATTTAAAGTTTTTCAAATAATTATTTTTTCTTTTTAAAAAGTCAGCGAGTAATAAACTGGAAATTTTAATATTGTACGATTAAAAACTGTGCAATAGCTAATATTTTTACAAGCGATTTTATATAATATTTATTTATTTATTTTTATTTATTTTCATAAAGCGGTTGATAAGCACAATCACTCGTATTAATAAAAAACTTAAACGAACGTTTTGAATAGATTTTTAATGTTAACAAGGAATTTTATTTCTAGTAAAATAAAATAAAATGTTAGAATAAAAATCTTATAGGTATAAAAGAAATATTTTAGCGAAAAAATTATTCTTAAAAATTATTCTTAAAAATTATTCGAAAAACTATTGACGTTCTATTTTTCAGCAGCTGTTCTTGAGCACGCTTCGATGAGTTTCGGTAACTTTTAACATAAAAGCGATCGTTATTATTTAAGTAATTTTTTTGAGTTCTTTTTACAAAAATTTTAATAACTGTACTTTTTAATTGAATCAAGTAGAATACGTTTTAATATTATTCTTTTTTTTTTTTTATTTGCCCTCACCAATTTTTAAAATGTTTCCTCGAAATCACTCTTAAATACTTTAAATACGTCTAACAGTTAATAAATATTTTTAAATCTATGGAATAATTTTAAAACCTATCAAACCCCTGTAAAATAATTATTTAAGTTTAAAATCTAAAACTAAAAGAAAGTATTTTTGTTCAATTTTATCGACAACGTTGCTATTGCTGAATAATTTTATTAAAATGTTAGCTTAAAAGATTTAAACTTTTTTTTTTAATTTTTGAATTTTTTCTACTTGAAAATAATGAGCATATTTAATTTTTTTAAATTCAAACTTTTATTTCAACTGCATGCGGTTTTTAAAATACTTGATTAAATGTTAAAATAATCGTCAATTACTTCATTAAAATTCCGCTCAAAAATATCTTTAAATATACTCAAACAAAAAATTTTTTGCTCGACGCAAATAGCCCTAGCTACACGCAAAATCGCCCTTGGACGACGTAAAATTCACATCGCCCGACGCTTTATCGCAAGGCCTGATGTATATACATATATATATATATATATATATATATATATATATATATATATATATATATATATATATATATATATATATATATATATATATATATATATATATATTTATATTATATATATATATATATATATATATATATATATATATATATATATATATATATATATATATTATATATATATATATATATATATATATATATATATATATATATATATACATACATATATATATATATATATATATATATATATATATATATATATATATATATATATATATATATATATATATATATATATATATATATATATATATATATATATATATACATATATGTATATATATATATAAAATTTTAAAAATGGCAGCAAAACCTGTCTATCTAAAAGGCAACGAGCTATGAAAACTTTTTAATGCATAAAAAAGTTAATTGTTTTACCTGTTAAATTAATATTATTTAATAATATTAATTGGTATTTATGAATAATAACTTTGTTTTTTATTTACAAATAGTTATTTGAATAGTTATAAATATTTATAAATCATTAAAGTTTAAGATATAAAAATATTAGATAATAATATCAATATACTAGGTAAATAGTAATTTGTTATGATTACAGTTAAAAACATTTAAACTGTGAGCACATAATTTGTGATTTATGTTTGATTAAAATTTTATTTATTTTTTAGTTAAACATTGAATGATATTATTTAGTTCATTAACTCAAAACTTGTCAAATAAGTAAACAATGATAACACTTTAATGATTGATTTTTTTTACTAACCTCATTAAATTTTAAAGATTGAACTTAACTTGTAAACATCGTTCATATAGTAATGTTAAAGATAGAAAAGTTCAATTCGATACAAGGTAAGGTAGAAATATTTTTATATAGTGGTAACATAAGTTTTAAGCAAAATAAGTTTAACTATTTTTTCATCATGTTATTTTAATTTTTTGCTTTGTTTATTTAAATTGTATGTTTGATATTTACAATAATAATTTTTATTATGATCACTATATTATTATTATTATTATTATTATTATTATTATTATTATTATTATTATTATTATTATTATTACTATTATTATAGACGATTAATTTTGTCCACTAATGTAGTTATAAAAAATTTATGTTGACCCTTTGTTTTTCTACGTCGTTGTCTACATCTTCTTTCATTGTGCCCTCTTGTAATTGATTTTTTTATAAATATAGGAGGATTGTGCCAATTAATTACATCTTAGTTATTCATAAACCTGTATAGTTGCACTATATTGAATCTCTATCTTTTATTTTTTAATGTCGAAAGATTAATTTTATTTAATCTATTTTCATATAGTGAACCTTTTAAACTGTAAATACAAGTTGCACTTTGTTAGACTTGTTCTATCATATTGATATGTTTTTGTAAATGTGGGTTCCATAATGGTTATCAATATTTAAAA